CTGGGGAATTCTGGGAGTTGAAGTCCACCCATCTTAAAGTTGCCAAGGTTGAGAAACACTGCATGAATGTAATGCACTCAATCTGGTTAGTGAATTAACCCATTTTTTTTGGGTCGCCCAGCCTACTGAACCGTGAGCTGTCTGAACTGACTGGGTTCGGAAGAACTCACTAGGTTTAGCCATGGGAACGCAGCCACCGTGTCTTCAGCTGAGCTGGTTAAGTGGGTGGTGGGAACACAGCCGATGCATGACGAACTTTTTGTCCCTAATTCAGACTCAAAATGACCTGCCACCTTCTTCAGGCTGTAGGCAGACAAACAGGCTGACGTACAACAGATAGAGATGCTGCACGATTGCACATCCGCCTGGAGGGTGTGGATAAACAGGTACAGAAATAAGAAAGGGTGCCCACCGCGCCTCTGTGTATTGCGCCACTAAATTAAACACAGGAGAATCAGTCCCCCCAAGAAAGACACACGATTTGCAGCGTTGATTCCCAGAAACTTCACAGCCAACATGTTTCTGGAAGCCTTTAAAGCCTTGGCTGTTCTCCCAGGCCCCAGGCAGGGTCTCTGTTTTTCTGTTGGAGGATTTGTCCAGATGCGTGAGATTTTCTGGTTAGAAGTGCCTTTTTACGGTTTCCTATTTTTAATGTAAAGCGTCACTTTGGAGTTGGGGGCCTTTACATTTTGTGAATGAATGAATGAATGAATGAATGAATGAATGAATGAATGAATGAATGAATGAATGAATGAATGAATGAATGAATGAATGAATGAATGAATGAATGAATGAATGAATGAATGAATGAATGAATGAATGAATGAATGAATGAATGAATGAATGAATGGTTTTCTTTGCAGCAGTGCAGAAGGGACTGTGGCCAACGCTTTCTTCCAGGCTGTTTTTTGACTTCCAAGATGATGATGAAGTTAATGATGCTGTTCTGCCTTTATTTTGTACAATTCAAGGCAATGTACATAATACTCCTGCTCTCTATGTTCCCCACCACCACAACCCTGTGAGATGGGTTGGGCTGAGAGAGATTCATCTACAGAACTCCCCTGGGCTTTCTTGTGGTCTCCCATCCAGTACGAACCCAGTCCAACTCTTGCTTTCAAGATCAAGTTTTATTTTAAAGCATTTTAATCCTGCTCTTTAGCTGAAAAGGCTCCTGAACAAGAGAGGCTAACCAAGTTAAATAGCTGAGCAATCCTCGGACTCAGGAGTGCAAGCGAAAATGAGATTCTGAATCCTTAGCTCTCCAGAACGGTAGTGCTTGTATTGCTGGATTGAGGCTCTGTCCCACCGCCAGGTCCCAAACCCTGCTCTTTTTCATGCAAGATACATTTAAAAAAGGATGGACACCATCTTCATTTTTGACTCTCCCACTTTCTAATCCTGGATCAATGAAATTTGCACATCCCTAGGGTGTTTAAAGTAGCATGTTCTGAACACACCAATTCTCTTAATCTGATTTTAGGGTCAACCAGGCGTGTGCGAGCCCAGCTCGCTTTTGCTCAAAACTGGAAACTGGC